GATCATCTTCAACTTCTTTAACAGATAGCCTTTCTGAATCCTGGCCTCAATATCTCCGCTTAAACTTTTCTCTGCTAGAAAACTGTAAAAAAGTATCGAATCTTACGCTCGATTCTGGAGCTTTCAAATGAGCGTCGCCTTTGTGGCGCAGATCTTCAAGATGTGTTACGAGGTCTTTGCACTGATGCGCTTTGGCCACTCAATGAACGGCCTGCAGAAGTTCTACTTTATTGTTTACCCAGCCTACTACACTGCGATCATGCTCTGGTATGTGGGGCACTGTACACAGCTGGACCGGGTCAATGAAGAAATTTCCAAACAGTGTTTAAAATATCATAATCGTGAGCTTTCAAAAAGCGGTCCATCTGAAAGCTGCTTAAAACTTCCGCTGACCTGCAAACTAAAAGCGGAGCTCTTTGCCCAAAATGGGCGTCTTGAGGGCTACGTGCTGAAGCTGTTTGCCGGCTATCGGGTCAACTCAAACACCTTGGTTGAGGTAATTTGAGGGTTATTAAAAATTTTAAAACACATTTTTTAAAACACATTTAAACATCTTACCTGCAGGTGATTGGCTACGTGGCGGTGCTTTTTCTTAAAATCGTTGAGCAGAATCAGGAGAATAAGCAGTAAAGAATGTGTTTGATGATGATGATGATGATGATGATTGAATTCAAAACAAAAAGAAAATATAAAAACAACAAAAACCAAAATAACAGCAACAAAAAAGTGACAACAACAAACTTTTAAACAAGAAAAAAATTGTTCATCTCTTCAAAAGTGCAAATTTTCAAAAAATGTCAAAAAAATGTTTTGTTTTTATTATTTTATTTTACAGCAAAAAAACTTATAATAAATAAACTTTCAACACTGTGTTTGCGCACTTTTCGCTTCCAGAAAAAAACTCTCCCTACAGCGACTCAAAGACGTCAAAGATGTAGGAGATGGGCGTCTCGCGGAGGTTCTTATTCTTCGTCTTGGGCAGCTCCTCGATCAGCTTGCCGCACTTGGCGTCATTGTCCTCGTAGCGGGCGCAGATGAGGTTCATCGAGTCGACCGTGGACTTGTGGATCAGCTCGCCGTAGCCCTCCTTGGCGTCGGCGTCACAGCCCTTGGTCTTGGCCCAGGCTCGCTTCATGCACTTGATCCAGGAGTAGTACTGAAAAGGGGAAAATTAGAACAAAGATAAAAACTTTTAAAATAAATCTCTCTAGAATCATAATAATCGAACCTTGCAGCAGACAATCGGCACGCGGCTCTTCACATTGGCCACCTTGCGGGTGTTGGCCATCTCGTTGATCATCGTGTCCCAGCACTTCTTCGTCTCCGGCTTCGCCTCGTTGCCGCACTTTGCCCAGCGGATAAAGTCCTCGCGCTTTTTGCCATTCTTCGAGCAGAAGGGCTTGTTGACGCGGTCGACGTTGAAGATCTGCAGGTTGAGGAGGGTTTGCGAGGTGCCCGTCAGACAGCGGTCGCCGTAGTCCTTGCTGAACTCCTTGTTGGCGACGATGGCTCTGAAAAAAAGTTGTCAAATTTTTTTTTAATTTTAAAGTTTTAGTTTAGGCTTTAAAATTAAATTACCTGCAGTATTTGGTCAGCTTTTGCTGTGTGGTGGGCAGCTTCACCCGTTCACTGCCAAAGAAACCGTAGGCTCGCACAAAGCTGCCCTCAAAGGCGTCAATGGAGCAGTTGGCCGCTTTGGTGTACTGAGCCAGGCTCTGCTCTGCCAGAGACCACAAAATCACCACCAGAAAAAATGATGAACTAAAGAGCAATCTCATTTTTAAAGCAAAGTACTTTTTGAACTTGATATTCACTGCAAAAACTTGTACGATAACAGGTGCTTTTCCTTTTATATAGACAAAGATGAGAAGGGTTAAGAATTTTTAATGAGAAAACAAAATAAGAGGGTACTTCAAAAAACAGGTTGTTGTTTTTTATGAGTGTGCACTTTTGAAGTCGGTGTTTTAGTTTAAAGCAGATTTTATAAGCATCAGCAGCAGCAGCATTAAAGGTCAATGTTTACGTGAGGCGATGTGTAGTGCCCGGTGGCAATAATGCTGTTGTCGTTTTGACTTTGTTGCAATGAGTTGATTGGAGTTGAGAGGGAAACCCGAGGTGAGTGCACAGCAGTGTGAGCCCAAAACTAGATTATTTTCATTAGCTCAACTGGAAAAAAATGAGAGAGAGAGAAAAAGAGAGAACGATTGATTTATTTTCATTATTTAGTGGCGGTGATTACTCGCAGATAAAAAGAGAAAAAAAGAGCAGACAGGAAATAATATGTGATTAAAGCTGAAAATGAACTCACAAAAAAATAATATTTGCAGGAAAAACTGGTTGTGTGTGTGTGCGTTTGCGATAACAAAATGCAATACCCTCTTTAAACAGATTTTTTTTGTGTTGAAATATTGAAAAAACAGATCACAGTAAAAGTATGCTCAATGCTTATGTTAATAAAACAAGTTAAAAATATTGCATCAAAAAAAGTAGTAGAAACACACTTGATCAGCACTGACAATTAGTAAAGCTAGAAAGCTCAAAAACTAAAAGACTTTCATTTAGCGTGCAGAGTATTTATAATTTGGTAGTCTTTAAAACATTTTTTACTTTTCTTTTAATTATGATGATGCACTTAAAGAAAAAGGTAAAGAAAAAGGTTAATTAATGAGCAGCGTTGCAACCCTCAGTCGTATGCTCAGTCTTTTGTTTTCGTCTGCACCTTTCTTTGTTCTTCTTTTTAACTTTTTTTTCCATTACTAATGAGTACTTTGTAAGTTGCTTAGGCTTGTACTGCAAAAAAACAAGTGCAAGTGCTTTTCCACACAAGGATTTACCATACTGAGGAACTCGGTGAAGCAACACTAATTGTTATTGTTCTCTCTAGAAGCTTCACTTTACTTGTTGCTGATGACGTCTTTTTAATCATCATAAGGTAAAGGAAAAACACTAATAACTAGAAAAATAGGCACTTTACTATTTACAAAAAAAAACTAAACAACAACAAAATTTAAAGTCTAACAAAAAGGACATTTATCACAGCAGCCGGCCAGTGTCTCGGTAGATGAGCAGCTTGACCAGGATGAACGCCCCTAAAGAGGTGGAAACAAAACCAGCCTCAATGAGAAAGAGCATCGTCGGGTGGGCGTTAAAAGTTTGTCCAAGAATAAAAGGAACCACCAGGGAAAGCAGGCCGGCCAAAAAGGAGTAAATGGAGCAGATTCGATTTGACAGGCGAAGGTGGCGCTCGGTGAAGGCCAAAATCGCCGGCCACATTGCGCTCAGGCCGTAACCTGAGACAAAAAGATAGAAAACTTTAGATAAAAAAGATCAAACTTTAAAATCTTTTTTTAGCTCTAACCTAAAATGGCACTGCCCACGGTGATCACCAGTTGACTACTTCGCCCAAGGAAGATGGTCACAAAGCCAATCACCATCGTCAGGTAGTGGTAGCTGATGATGGTGTCCGGCGACAGCTTGGCGGCGATGAAGGTCGTCGTCAGGCGGCCCAGCGTGTAGGTGGCCGAGACGATCGACTGTATGTGCGTGGCCGTCGTGGCGTCCAGACCTATCTCCAGGTACTGGTACATGGTGGTGCTGAAGTTGAACCAGCCCAGCTCGATGGTGCTGTAGGCAGCTAAACAAATACCACAAAGAGCGACTTTGAGCAGACGATTGGGAACGGTGGATTCGTCGACTACCTCTTCCACCTTTTCTAGGACCACTTTTTCAGGCTTTTCACACTCAAAGTTTTCATTTGAAGCAGTCGAAGAGGCTTCTCCCATTGGCCGGTAGCGGCAGAAGAGAAAGAGCAGCAGCAGAGAGGTGGTGACTAAATAAATAAAGAAAAAAAATTAATTAAAAACCTGATTTATAAAAAGTTAAAAAAATTGGTACTCACTGGCAGCGGGCAACACCCCCGTCACGATGAAGGGCACCGTCAGCGAGTGCACCCGATCGGCGGCGGTGATATTCCGCCCGGTTTGCCCGTCAAAGGTCTTCTCCCCCTGAACAAAAGGTCCGGCGAGGAGCGGCGCGAGCACCGTACCGCCGCCGTACATGAACTGCATGAACTGCAGCGGGCCGGCGTTGCCCACCGGGAAGATCTCCACCATCCAAAAACCGCTGCAAAAACAAACGAAAAAATGCCATTAAATTAAAATCTTATTCAAAAGTTTTAAGCCTATTTCTCCTACCTCGCCGCATCCCAAGCTCCGCTGGCAATGCCACAGAGCACAAAAGCGGCCAGGGTGATCCAAAACTGCTGATAGTGGGGCGTCAGCGCCGAGGTGACGCCCATGAGGAGAATGAAGATGGCCAGAGCCAGTTGCCGATTGATCCACCGGTAGAGCCAGCCGAAGAGTGAGCCCAGCAGGTAGCCCACCTGGACGGCCACGGTGAAGTAGGAGCTGGTGTTGATGGAGACGCCGTAGATGAAGCGGAGGTCCACCTGGACGGCGCCGAGGATGTTGGCGACGATTCCCTAGTAGTAAGTGAAAAAAGTACTTTCAGTAAACTGTGAAATTACTCAAAAAAATAATAGTTTTGTTTACATAGGCAAAGTGCGTCGCCAGAATGATGCTTGCGTAGAAGATGTTTCGCTTGTTTTCCATCAGCTGTTGCTTTAGTTTGGATGCCATTTTTTAAGGTTTTTGATAAGTTTTCTTTTTAGTACTTAACAAAAAGGAGAAGCTCATTTGTGTTCACAGATTTTGATGTTAAGTTTTTTGTTTATATAAAACAAAAAATGTTTTAAGAGTTGCTGATGATCACTGACCAATTTTTTTTTCTTAAACACACGTTGCCTAGAGCAGGATGCATTGTGTGTTTGTTTCCAAAATGATACACAAAGTACACAAAATGCGCGCACAAATTGCACTCATTCTTTTCTTCTCTCCTTTTTTTCTCACAATGATTTGATAAACAAAAACTTCTCATCATCAGCAGCAGCATCACTTTTAAGCGTGATTGAGCTTAAAAGTGATAATCTCTCATTAATGAAAATGTCATTGAGAGATGTGTGGGGTAAGTGTAAGTGTAAATACTGCTGGTAATCTTTACTATTAAAAAGTTAAGTAATAGACAGTGCGCACTGCGCAGTACAGGTGACTGTAACCACGGGTCAGTAAAATGGCATTACAAATAAATCAAAACATCTTTTGTGAGAGACTAAAAACCGTCATCTTTAGCTGATTCTTTTTTCAATTGCTGCCCTTGATAGACTAAATTTAGTGCATTCTTTTTTATAAAAACTTTCAACGACATTGTTAATAATTTAATAAGAATAAAAGTAATCCTTCCTTTTTCTGGCTACTAATACTGTGTACTCACAATGCACTTGTCAAAACAAAATACATTTATGTTTGAGAAAATACATGAAATAATCTGTTTCACACAAATAAAATTTTTGCACATCAAGCAAAACTAAAAATAACATTCAGTAATACACTTTTTTTCTAATAACAAAAAAACACATGCTAATAACAACTGACTGCCTCCTTTACACGTCGCCGCACTTTTTGAAAGTCATTCTAAACAGGCAAAACATAATTAAAAAAAATTAAAAATTTTAACAATTTTTTTAATTTACCTTGAAAGCTCGACTCATAAAGCTGTACACAAAGGGATTAACTTTAGAAGCAACAAAACAACAAAAGTTTTTAAATGACGTTATACAGCAAAAAAACACAAAAAACCTACCAAAGCTGTTGGCCATGGCCAGCCAGTGACAGGCAATGTAGGAGTAGAGGGTAAAGTAGAAGGTCTGCTGGCTGCAGAAGGCAATCACCCGAAAGTGTCGCAGCAGTTGAAAGAGCTTCACCGGACTCCAGCAAAGGGCGTACAGCAGCAGAACGGTGAGCAACATTTTCACAGTCTGCAAAATTTCCAAAATAAAATTTAAAACTAGTTAAAAAATAACTTCTTATTTGTTCAAGTACTCTTGATCGTTGGTCAACTGAGATTGAGGTGCTCCTCGTTGCGTAGGAAAAGTTGGCAAAAGTAGGCTGTCTAGAGAAGCAGTTGAAAGCAGAGGAGTTTTGCTGCGGCAGCTCTTGATCGTGATTTTTCTATTCAACAAAGATTAAATTGTACAATTAGAAAAAAAACAAAAAAATGTTTTTGTCATCATCACTTTACCCTTTCTACAAAAATCCACGCACACCGGTGACTGTCGGGCGAGGTGAACTGCCGGGCAATAAAATGGCTGTTTTTATTAATTTTATTTCCATTTCCTCTTCTCAGTTTGACGACAATGGCCGCATAGGCGGCGCTCATGATCAGCAACGGAAGCAGGTAGGTGAGGACCAGATTTCCAAAAAGGAAAAAATTCAGCCAAAACCGTGGATCAGCTCCCTCTTCTCCGTTGATGAACACCGTACACTGGTGGAAGAGCGACCCGTCCACCCGGAAGCTGGTCACTGAGGTGTGGGCGGCGGGCACGGCGGCGTACAGTGCCCCGACCGCCCAAACCGCCGCCAGCAGGCGGCGATTGTGCGTCTTGATCCAGTTGGCCGGCCGGGAAAGCGGGTGCAGGGTTAGGAAGTACCTGAAGGAAAAAAAGTTTGTTTTATTTTATATTTTGTATTTAAAGTTTTAGTTTTAGTTTTAAAAAAATTTATTTAAAAAAGATTACCGCTCCACGCTGATCAGCGTCAGCGTGGCCGAGGTGACGGCGGCGCTCAGCAGCTGCCCATACTGCGCCAGCGGACAGAGAAAGTGGGCGTACGGCCAGCGGCCCAGCACCAGATTCGCATAGGAGAAGGGCATGCTGGTGAGGGCGAGGCTGATGTCGGAGACGGCGAGGCTGTTCAGGCAGTTGCGGATGTTCCGAAAGGGCGTACTCGTCGTGGTGGTCACCGCTTGTGATAATGAAAACGCTGAACGCCTTGACTTTTTGGCCGATCTTGAACTTCTTCTTGTCGGCAAATTTCTGCCGCCGCCGCCGCCGCTGAGGTGGACGACGATGACCAGGACGTTGCCGGCGATGGAGGCGAAGGAGGTGGCCCAGTAGAGGGCGCCAATGAGGAGCTGAAGCTCGACCTGGGGCACCGGCTCCACGGTTGGGGGGTGGTAGCAGTTGCTGCTGCTGCTGGTGGTAGCATTTGATGACATGATAAGCTGTTTGGTGGTAATTTCAAGCAAGAAAATTACGATACGGGGAATAACTTTGAAAAAAACCTTTCTCAAAACTGAGGTGACAAGAGTGGCAAATAATAATGAGGTGACAACGAAGAAAAAACCGCTTAGCCGTTGGCTGATCAGGTGGTGATGATGCGTGGTTTCTGTTTGCTGTTCTGCAGACACTGGTGAGGACTGCCACCAAGACCGCTGCTATTAAAGCTTCTTTTGAGGGCAAATTCTTCCTCCTCTGCATTATCTCCATTTTCTGGTCTTCTGGTGTAGAGTAAAGAGGATGTGAAAATAAAAATGAAATTGAGAGTAGGTTTTCTCGGAAAAGGAGCCGACCCTCAATGAGTGTTCTTGAAAGTGAGATCAAATGGAATCAGCCAAATGAGTGAAAGTGGAGGCAGCAATTCAGTAGTGCTATATAATTAAGCAGTGTTTTCTACTCAAATAAAAAAATGGCAGTACTAGAAGTAGGTTGCTTTTGTATTAAACAGCAAGGCACATCTTGTACCAAATGTGCAACACTGGCAAATTGGCGGTTGATCTTGAAACTGGCAAAGGAACTTACAAATAAAAGAAAGATGCTCTGTAGGTCATTTATTTTTTGCTTTTTCATATTATTATCTTGTTTTACTCAAATTTTTTTTACTAAAAATAATTAAAATTAGCAACTAAACAAATAATCAAAATTACATTTTACAAAATTGCATAAATGTGGCCACACTAGACTACAAAAGGTGTAGCCAAAAAGGCCACACTACATGTGTTTAATTTTTAAACTGGTTTGTACCTAAAATGACCAACACAAAATAATAACCCTTTTGACATTAAAATTGCATTTGTCATTGTGCCTATTTTTAAATTATAAATTTTTATAAATGGCAAAATAATGACATTTCTCAGCAGATAGAAAAATAAATGTAAATAGCGATTAACTTGTTTTGCTAAAGCAAATGTACTGATGTTGTTTTATGTTTTATCTTTTAAATTTTAAAACCAACATATTTTCAAAATTGAGTTTTCAAAATGCACTCTAACAAATAAAAACATAATTTAAAAATTTTGTTAAAATTAACTCAAATGACACATTAAACTCAAAAGCATAAAATAAATAATTCAGTATTTTAGGACACAAAATTAGGCAATTTAAACACAATGTGTCACATTGGCGGTCAACTTTTTACTCTTATCGTTTATTTAAAACACAATTTTAATCTTGATAATGTTTGTTCAGTTCATCATTTGTTAATTAGCTATTAGGTTTGCCTACTAATTTTGGTGATAAACTAAAATAGTGGCAACCTCAAAGTTCACATTTTGGTCAATATCGTTTGCCAGACAATGGAAAGTTTTTGCACTGACCATCTGTGGGTTAGCGGGGCTTATTACGTAAATCAAGTGCAGCAGTTATGTTTTGCCAATACATTTAGTAGATTTGCTCAATAGCAGAGAGAGAGAGAGAGAGAGAGAGAGAGAGAGAGAGAGAGAACTAAAACAAAGCACCAAATGCCAAGTTTTATTGAATAAAATTAAAAATTGCATCAAAACAATGTATAAAACTGCCTAGTAACTAGTGCTAGTCAACCAACTTTTTTGTTATTTAATTAGTGTAACAAAAAGTTGGAGCTAATTTTTCTATTGGCAAAAAAAGTTTTTATAATAATAACATTATTCAAATTTAGTTCAATGATGACTTCACAAAATGACTTCAGCCTAACTACTACCACTACTGTCGCCCTCACATTTGCATATTTCTCTCTCATCATTATCGGACAAACCGGTAAGAAGAAGAGGCTGTTACACTGTTGCCAATTTGTTTCTTCTGAATCAGTTTTTTAGCTCATTTGTACATAGCAAATACACACTTTTTTTTAAAAAACATGAAAACTGAAACCAAACTGAATTTTTAATATTTTTCACTTTTTTAATCTATTAATAATAAATAAGCGGCCAACGAGAACAAGGACGACTGGAGCTACTACGGTAGGAATGAATTTATAAATATGAAAAAATCTTTCAAATGCAAATTACCGTTTATTTTAAAAAAGGTTTTAAACATAATTTACATTTGCATGTTTTTTTGCTGTAGACCAAGAGCGGTGGCCCGAAAAGTGGCCTGAATGCGGCGGACGGCAGCAAAGTCCGGTCAACATTGACACTCGCCTGGCGGCCTACTACTATTACGCTCCGGGATCACCTAAAATTGGCTCGCCAGTTCAATTCACCAGCTACGACCTTCCGCTGGAGGGCTTTACCATCCGCAACAATGGCCACACGATAGCCTTCAGCTATGGGAAAAGCCTACAACCCTCAGAACCTCGACCAGCCATCACCGGCTCTCTGCTCAAGTGGAACGCCTTTGTCCTGTCCGGTTTTCACTTTCACTGGGGACAGAGGACCGGTGTCGGTGGCTCGGAGCACACCTTCAACGGGCTGCCCTATGATATGGAGGTAATTTTTGTAAAAAATTTTATTTTGCAAAAAATTACAATTTTGTTTTTAGGTCCACCTGGTGCACTACAACGCCGACGAGTACCGCTCCTTTGACGAGGCCATCGCCGACCACAACGGCGGGGGCGTGACCGTGCTCTCCCTCCTCTTCAAGGTGTCACCCTACGCGAATCGACAGCTGGAGCAGATTACCGAGCTGGTGGCTCGCTACTCGGAGCGTTTCACCAATCAGACGGTGTCCATCAGGGAGCCACTGTACCTCGACGACCTTCTTCCGGCGGAACTAACGCAGAAAACTCCTTCCTCTTTCTCAAAGGTGAACCTCTTCGCCTATCGAGGCTCCCTGACGACGCCCCCCTGTACTGAGGGCGTCACCTGGCTGGTGGCCGACGTGGTGAACACCATTGGCTATGAACAGGTAAACTGAAAAAATTTTAAATAAAAACTTTTTACATTTTTTAAAAAACAATTTAGATCGAAGTCTGGCGCCGACTGCGAGACACTCGAGGTCGCCTGCTGGGCGACAACTTTCGAGAGCTGCAGCCGCTCAACCGACGCCTGGTGACGGCGTTTAGAGTTTAGGAAAGCAATGTTTTAAAATGATGAAAGTTTGTTGCTCATTAGGAAAAAATGCAATTTAGTTTGTGAGTTCAATAAAAAAGTCTAATTTTTAAAATTAAAACTGTCAAAAAATCATCTCAATTTGAGAGTCAGCAAAAAAAAGTTAAAAATGAGTAAAAGAAGTGAGCAGTAGTTTTCAACTAACTGACTGAATAAATAAATAATAAAAAATCACTCTGCCGACCAAGTTTCACTTGCATTTCCCAAGCTCAAAAAGGAAATGCTCGGCACTGCTGCTGTAGTGCTGGAAATGAGTCACTTGAAGTAGAGCTTCTCACTCTCGATCTGCTTGCGCACCTTCGTCAGGTCCTCCGTCCAGTCCATGTCCAGGTAGAAGGACTGCTTCTCATTGCCGTAGCACTCATCGAGGAAGAAGGTGTTGCCGTTCTTCTTGGTGCTGAAGAGGCTCGCTGAAGAAAAAAAGCAGGAAAAACAATTAAGATCATCTGATTTCAAATCATCCCCTCATTTAGTCACTTACTCAAGCACTTCTTCGGGTAGAGCGTACTGTGAATGCTAAAGTAGACCCGATCATCTCCGAGGTCAATCTGCGGAGCGTGCACGCGAATGAAGAATCGCATGTTCCGGTCCAGCGTACAGGGCACGAACTCCACCAGGCAGTCCTCGGCGAAGGAGGTGCAGGCGAGGCAGGGCCAGGTGCCGCCGTGCTCCGCCAGCTGCTGCCCGATGGTCCACACCTTGTTATGGACGCGAACCGACTGGCTGAACTTGTTCTGATTGCAGGAGGCGGGCTTCGGGCTGAAGTCGTTCTTGTCGGTGGCCCAGTCCGAGTCGATGCAGTCGTCGGAGGCGCGGATGCGAATCTGCCGCCCGAAGATGGCCCGATCGGAGAGCAGCTGGTTGATTCGGTCGGTGAAGGGCACGGTGAGAATCTTGGTGCCCAGCGCCTGCACGAAGATGCCCGGGTCCTCGGCTGAAACAATAGAAACAATAGAAGTGGAAGCTAGCAAGAGCATGCAGGCAAATTTGAGTGCCATGTTTTGAAATGTTTTATTTAGTTTTTGAGTTGATCTGATGATTTGCCTGATGATGATGATTTGGCCTGCTGAGAGGCGACTGCTATTTATACCAGCGCGGCTTTGTTTTGATGTTGTTTGTTTGTCAGGCTGCTAATTTGGTTTCAGCGATTTTAGCCTGTGATTGGATTCCCAGTTTTTGAAACGATGCTTTTAGCTAGTATACATTATCTATTATTTAGTAATTAATCAGCAAACATCACACTGCCAGCTTCCTTCTGTCTTTTTCTAGTTTGTTTGTATTGTTTTCAAGTTGGACTTCCCTTCTTCTTTTAGTTTCTTGTAATTGTTTGATTTGATTTTCCGTTCATTTTGAAGTTGATTTTTATCTTGTTTATTTGTGTTAATTTTGTTTGTTAGCCTTTGCAGTGAATTTTGCAGTTTTTTCTGCTGATAAGCATTTTTTAACTGATCAGGTGAATGGACTTTATGTTTGTTTGCTTATCAGTGGCAACACTTGCTGCCAGTTTTGTTTATCACAAGTAGACAAAATTTTGATGTATTTTATTTTTTATTTTGCTTTAACTTTTCATTTTTTATTAATAAAACAAAACCAATTTATTATTAAAAATACCCATTGCAGAATGCTCACGCAAATTCTTAATGATACAAATGCAATAAAACAAAAGAAAAAAATAAAGTGCGTTATAAAAATAAACACCTGCCCGAACTTATTCCGTTGCCATTAAAGGTTAATTGCAGTATGTATCATTGCACTTTTGTGAATGATTGGTTGGGTTTTGGTAATCAAAAAAATCTATCAAATGGAACAATAAGTGAATCATTTGAACTGTAATGCGTTGGTGAATAACGTGCAAAAATGGCACATTGAGTAACAGTGTTGCGTGGTAATAAGTTTTTAAATTTAGCAGGACACTTTTATATTTATATTTACTTTGAAAGCAATAAAAACCGTTAGGTTCACAGTATAATCAAATGTATTTTTTCTAAGTTCAATATTATCATTGCAAAAAAAGTAGCATTAAATAAACAATATGGACGCTTCGATGTGTGTTTTAATTTTTCTCTGTTTATTATCAGCATTCAAAAGTATTTTCATCTTATTTGTAGTTTAAATATTTTTTTTGTTTTTGCACCTTTACATAATAATTACTCATTTTTTATACAATTTTTTTAGTGCAAAGTACATTTGCTTTAGAGCATTCCTCTCTACAGTTGAGGCGGAATTTTTCCAACTTAACAGCTGAAGGCAAAAGTCAACTACTGTTGCAAATGAAAAATTTTATTCTAATGGTAATGCTATTTACTTTAATGATAAAACCATTTTTTATGTTGCTCATCAATTTGAATGTTTACGTTTTTATTTTTATTTTAATTTTTTTATTTACCAAAGAAAATAGAACATCGAAAACTCTTCAACCCGTTTGTGCTTAGAAAAAAGAAAACTTTTTATAACTAACTAGAACTTAATGTTTAGTACTTTTTTTTAAAGATGAAAACACTTTTTGATTGTAATAAAATATCGTCGCAAATTGCTCTGAAATGGAAAAAATAGAAAAAAACTAATTAAGTTCAAGCTAAAAAATTGTCAACAAAAAAACCCGGTTGATACCCGAAACCGACGAGACATGAAGCTGTAGATGATTGGATTGACTGTAGAGAAAAGGCAAAAAAAAGTTATTGTCATTGTCATGTTATTTTTGTAACTAACACAGTAAAGTATTAAAAATAAATTTTTTCTTGTTCTCACCAAAGCTGTTGGCCATGGCCAGCCAGTGGCAGGCAATGTAGGAGCTGAGGAGGGCGTAGAAGCCCACCTGGCTGCAGTAGCTGATCACCCGAAAGTGCCGCAGCAGCTGAAAGACCTTCACCGGGCCCCAGCAGAGGGCGTACAGCAGCAGCACCGTCCACATCATCTTGATGGTCTAGAAATAAATGATTTGAAAAAACAGTATTTTAAATAAAAACCTTTTTTGGGTTACCTTTGACCGTTGGGCGATGGCCGCCTTGCGCTGCGCCCTGGTCAGCGAGTTGAAGCTGCTCTGCCGCCGCCTGAGGCGGTGCATGATGGCGACGTAGCTGGCGCTGAGAATCGTAAGCGGCAGGAGGAAGGTGAGGAGGAAGTTGGCGAGGATGAAGAGGCGACTCTTCAGGGAGTGGTCGTCGTGGACGCACTGCACGTAGATGCGCTCGCCCAGGCGGAAGAGGCTGCTGTAGGTGGCGTCCAGGGGAATGGCGGCGTAGGCGGCCCCGAGGACCCAGGTGCTGATCAGCAGCTTGCCGCCGTGCGACTTGATCCACTCGCTGGCGGTGGACAGCGGATGCAGCGTCACCAGGTACCTGTGTGTGTTTTTTATATATTGTTTGATATTGGTAAAATGAGAAAGATAATCATCTTTAGAGAAGCATCTTTATCTCTTCCGGTCTTATCTCCGATCTAAAAATAGAATTCAATAAAAGCACTACTCTGATTATTTTGTTTCTGATCAACAGAATTATTTGTTTTAGTGAATTGTTCAAGTACTGTGTGTGTGTGTGTTGTGGGTTGCAGCATTAAATTAAGCTGCAGCTAAACTGAAATAATCAAAGACAAAAAAATGTTAACGACACATTCAGTACAATACAGTTTTTTTCATCATTAAACATTAACTTGCAAAGGCAGAGATTTGACGCTAAATCGGGCCAAAACAGTACATTAAATTTTTTTGTTGTAATTAGGACAAAAATTAAACTGAATTACAGACAAAGTGAAAAAAATTATGTTTTTGTGCAACATCACGTTTTAATTAAAATGCAAGCGTCACAAAAAAATAAAATGCAAGCGCCTGAAAAAAAAATCAAACAAACAAACAGAACGGCACTGCACAATGCGAATTACAAATATTGATTTTTCTCTAAAACAACCTCAGCAAAGTCAAATAGAGTGCAATGCAGATACAAAAAAACATTTGTTTGCCAAAATCGGTGTTTTTCTAGATAAAAATCATCCGATTTTTATCTAACAACAAGGGCTCAGTCGCACTCGCTTCGCTCACGCCACACTTAGCTGTGCACCGCTAACATTTCTTAAAAGTTTGGCCAGCGGCTCACCCTGACGACACTTGGGCACTGTGAACGTCCACCGACTCGGGCCCCGCTCGCTCCGCTCGCGAGCCCCGAGTCGGTGGACGTTCACAATGCCCAAGTGTCGTCAGACCTCGCCGCTTTGGGCTGTGCACTGCTACTTCACACAATAAAATTTCTCACATATTTTTTCTTAATCTAAAATCTGGCTAAAAGTAGATCAGTTAAGCAACGGCTCACCCTGGCGTCACTTGGTCCACCAAAAACGCTCGCCGACTCGGACCTCGCTCGCTCCGCTCGCGAGTCCCTCGTCGGCGGGCGTTATTGGTTGGCCAAGTGACGCCAGACCTCGCCGTTTTATCTGTGCACCGCTAACATTATTCAAATACTTGGCTAGCGGCTCACTCTGACGTGACTTCGACGCTGTCAATGCTGTCCTCCTCGGGCCCCGCTAGCTGCATTTGCGAGAACCTCGTCTGTGGCCGTTGACAACAGCCAAGTCACGTGATGTGACTCACGTCAGAGTCTGACGGTCAGACCTCGCTGCCCTTGGCTGTGCACTGCTGCCCCCGCAACAACTGCGATCGCCCCGCCAGCACAGGGCGAGAGCGGCGGCAGCGATAGCAACGAGAACGGCAGCGAGAGCGCACAGTTTTAGCCAGCGCAGCAGTTGCTGCGATAGCAATACGCGCCTGCGCAGAGCAGCCAAAGTGATCAAAACATTGGTTTTAGCGAAAAACAACGT